TATTGTATGTAAAGGCTTTTTTACTACGCGCAGTTGCTGTAGTTCCTGTAGTTGCTGTAGTTGGGGTATCAGGTCTTGTCTTGGCGAGACTAGCCGGCGGGTCTTTCTTTTTTCCGGCCAGAGATCGCTTCTGTGTCGATAGGCACCTGAGTCCACCGCCTTGAGGAAAGGTATATTGTATGAAAGGCTTCTTACTACGCGTAGTTGCTGTAGTTGCTGTAGTTGGGGTATCAGGTCTTGTCTTGGCTAGACTAGCCGGCGGGTCTTTCTTTTTCACGGCCTGAGATCGCTTCTGTGTCCATAGGAACCTACAGACCACCGCGTTAAGGAAAGGTATATTGTATGAAAGGCTTCTTACTACGCGTAGTTGCTGTAGTTGCTGTAGTTGGAGTATCAGGTCTTGTCTTGGCGAAGCTAGCGGGCGGGACCGTCTTTTTTCACGGCCTGAGATCGTCTCTGTGCCCATAGGCACCTACAGTCCACCGCCTTGAGGAAAGGTATATTGTATGAAAGACTTTCTTACTACGCGTAGTTGCTGTAGTTGGAGTATCAGGTCTTGTCTTGTCCTACTACGCGTAGTTGCTGTAGTTGCTGTAGTTGCTGTAGTTGGAATATAAGGTCTTGTCTTGGCGAAGCTAGCGGGCGGGACCGTCTTTTTTCACGGCCTGAGATCGCTTCTGTGCCGAAAGTCAACTAGAATCTACCGCGTTGAGGAAAGGTATATTGTATGAAAGGCTTTCTTACTACGCGTAGTTGCTGTAGTTGCTGTAGTTGGAGTATCAGGTCTTGTTTTGACGAGGCTGGCCGGCGGGTCTGTCTTTTTCACGGCTTGAGATCGCTTCCGTGTTGATAGGCACCTGAGTCGACCGCCTTAAGAAAAGGTATATTGTATGAAAGGCTTCTTACTACGCGTAGTTGCTGTAATTCCTGTAGTTCGAGTATCAGGTCTTGTTTTGGCGAGGCTAGCGGGCGGGACCGTCTTTTTTCACGGCCAGAGATCGCTTCTTCTCTAATATAATTTTCCTCAAGGCGGTAGACTATAGGTGCCTATCGGCAAAGAAGCGATCCCAGGCCGTGAAAAAAGACGGTCCCGCCCGCTAGTCTCGCCAAGACAGGACCTGATACCCCAACTACAGCAACTACAGGAACTACAGCAACTACGCGTAGTAAGAAGCCATTAATGCAATATACCTTTCCTCAAGGCGGTGGTCTGTAGGTGCCTATCGGAACAGAAGCGATCTCTGGCCGTGAAAAAAGGCAGTTCCACCCGCTAGTCTCGCCAAAACAAGACCTGATACTCCAACTACAGGAACTACAGCAACTACACGTAGTAAGAAGCCTTTCATACAATATACATTTCCTCAAGGCGGTAGACTCTAGGTGCCCATCGGCACAGAAGCGATCTCTGGCCGTGAAAAAAGACAGTTCCACCCGCTAGTCTCGCCAAAACAAGACCTGATACTCCAACTACAGCAACTACAGCAACTACGCGTAGTAAGAAGCCTTTCATACAATATACATTTCCTCAAGGCGGTAGACTCTAGGTGCCTATCGGCACAGAAGCGATCTCTGGCCGTGAAAAAAGTCGGTCTCGCCGGCTAGTCTCGCCAAGACAAGACCTGTTACTCCAACTACAGGAACTACAGCAACTACGCGTAGTAAGAAGCCTCTCATACAATATACCTTTCTTCAAGGTGCCTATCGGCAAAGATGCGATCTTAAGCCGTGAAAAAAGACGGTCCCACCTGCTAGCCTCGCCAAGACAAGACCTGATACTCTAACTATAGCAACTACAGCAACTACGCGTAGTTAGGAAGTCTTTCATACAACATACCTTTCCTCAAGGCAGTGGACTCTAGGTGCCTATCGGTAAAGGCTAAACTCTCCTAAAGGAAAGGAGAGAGTCTGCGGCCGCGTCCCTGTTCAGGTCGATGCTAAATCCCGAACACCCACTCCACGACCTGGTGCCTGTTC